AGCATAGACCCTTGATTTGTCCCATGATCTCGGCCACAATCGAAGACTTGGCCATTTTGCTTTTGGCTTCGGAATATGGTTTGAGATACTTGTGGACAAGCGATTTCAAGTGTTGGTTACCGGTCGAAGAAGTGTACACCTTGCCTCGTCCACATAGCACTGTGAACCTTCCGGGAGTAAAGTCACAGGACAGTCTGGTTCTGATTCCACGTTTAGTCATCTGTACCATTTTGTAATTAGCTTGTTGTTTTTGGTGGATTTGATTTTGTGATAGGATCTGGAAAAGGAGCAAAATTTCTAATCGCCCATGTGCGAGAAGTTTTAGACAAACCTCTTCATCAGATCTGAGAACTTCTTTCAATGGTTTTTATGAGATCGCCTCGATTCGCGGATGATATTGGTTTCCTTTTTCAGTTCCTCCGAAAGAGCGTAAAGATCACAAATCACATTTAATGTCTCCCCACAACTTTTAAACTCAGATGCGGTCTTTTCTGTCATTTGATAGATGTCGGAAAAACATATATGGCAGTGAATTCGTTTTCGACATTATCGGTAGCACAGATGAAGCTAGTGGCGTGGCAAATGGCATACACGGAAGTTCTAGGAAATATGAACTATTTGCAAATGCAAACAGCAGGGATACAAAAGGCAACATTTATGGCAGTCAATGCGATCCGCACTGGAAGCGGCGCTTTTCTTCAACTGTAGCGAAGCCTCAGATGTTCTTGGATTTATTAAGCCTCGAAGTTGCGATCAAAAAAATCCGTACAGTACTTTAGTTGTATAATATATTCCCGCCACTTGAAAAAAAACGCACCTTCTTCTCAGAGGTCCAAAATGAACTTCTTCTCGAGTGACATGGTGCTGGTAGGCACTATGAATGGAACGGTAATGACGTTCTATGATTTTCTCCGATACTTTTAATCAAAGGCGTATTTTACGTCCGTAAGGTATATATTATTAAAAAATACATTCTGATCGAATAATAAGACCGATAATTTTGCATTTGGGTACAGTAGTGCCTGGACCCTCCGCAACTCGTCCGTCAATCGACCGTTTTGTGGATTGATAATCTCGACTAGTTTGACTACTGAACAGCTTTCCCCGCACCCCTGAGCTGGGGCATTACTGAAGCAAAAAAGTCGTT